ATTCATTTTTAGAGCGTTAGTGAATTAAAAAAAAGCAGTATAAAAACCGGAATGTCCAACTGATAAGGCTGAACATTTTTTCACTTGTTATTTACAGTAAGATAAATACATTCACCAACTTTTATTAAAATAAAACCATTAAAACTGGGTGTTCGGATTTATATGTCACTTAGTATATATTAGAGACATATATATGTATAAGAGACAAATCGGTCAGTTAAACATACATACTATGATGGAAACTAAAGTGTTCTTAAAGGCTCAAGAATAACGCCTCGTCAGTGTTGAAAAACAGAACAACCCTCGACGGTCATGGAAAATACCAAAACGAACACCAATTAGATCCGATGTAGATCCATCATACCGGCGTTTGCTCTAAATACGGCCGGCGTCTTGTTGGCTGTGATAGATATATTTGAGTAAACCTATTTGTCATGCTTGTTCGGGTAGGGTGACGATGACGCAAAGCCTGTCGAACAACGCTGTCGAGACGAAGGACATGTTCAACAGGAAAGCCTCAAAATGGTAAAATATACTTTTCTGAATAAACCACCTTTGTATATTCAAATGTATGTATGTTCCATTTGGAACAGTTGAAAGGAAATACCTGTAGAAAAATATATGATATATGACAGTAAGTAAGCTCCGATATGTGGAAAAGGAAGTGATTTTCAGTTTGAGAAACGTTCAAGCTGAGACGAAATAGCAGAGTATTTGGAAAGGCTGAATAGATAGGTACATCGAATATTTTCATACATATGCTCAATGACAAAGAGAATGGAATATCTAGTTAAAATAGCTTTACTTGAATGAAGTTTCGTATAGTTGGACATAGGTTAGAGAAAGTGTTGAATGAATTTTGAAGTGAAAGTATTTGCTGATCGCTGGAATGGAAATAATGAGGCTCCAGTATTTTCTGTATATATATTTTGACGTCATACCACCTCTAAAAGGAACTAGAGGTAGCTTAGTATCATAGTACTATAACTTTTACAGTATGATATACGTGTGGTTCAACCACAGCGTTAGACTGAAAATTTACATTACGTCTTACTCCGCGTTGCCTACCGACCTGTATCATGCAGTTCTAAAGAGAACTAAGACTCATCACCAGTTATCAAAAAAATTTCATCGCTGTTCATTCTATTTAGGAATGCACAATAGACGAGCACATGTTAGAAGGTACCGCGGAAAAAGACGTAATGTAAGTTTTCATTTGAACATCCCGTGCACCACGGAAAGAAGTCAAACAGGTCGCGTAAAGAGAAATTAAATGTATTTCGGACTGGTTCAGCAACATGTACCTAGCCATAAATTTCGAAAAAATAAGGTATATCCTCTTTACGTGCGCCACAGTAACCATTCCGGAGTTCAGAAGATTGAACATTTTGTCAAAAGGATATTGACTAAAGAGGCAGATCATATCCGATATTGGGGGGTTGATATGAGAACAATTTTATATAAATCTTCAAAATTAAGGACCATAAACAATTGAACATGGTGTATGTAGTCCAGATTGAATCTCTTATAGAATACGGAATTGGTGGAGGGGGAAGGATATATAAAACTTGCCTTAAACAAATCGAAGTCATACAAATATGTTCCCTTGAAATTATGCTACTAAAAAGAAAACTTTACACAACAGATCTGGTATAGTGGTAGTCACCATTCTTGGTAAGTCAAAGTAAGACTACCATTATTCCTTTATCTAGCTCCATCTCCCTCATACATCCACATGCAGCCTACTCCTGTGTGTGAACGTTTGTTGGGTCAGCTTGAAAACATACGTTTTTTGTCTGTTTTTGTGTGTCGTTGTCTCGAAAACTTTGTCGTTATGTATGAGTGCCCTTCAATCGTCATATTTGTCAGAGTGACAACTTACTTGGCATCGGCATGCAATTCGAGTTATCCTGTTATCAATCTTCAATATAAAATTGTACAATGCCCGGAAATACAATCAATGGAGAAGGCGGATTGCTCGTGCTAAAATTATTAGAGTATTTCCAGGTAGAGAATGAAAGCAGCAGTCTCCTGTTACCCACTTCATGCGTACTGGAGAGAGTATCAGATGCGCTGAAGATTAAGATTTGACTACAACTATATAAATATACTGAGTCAAAAAGGATGGATCTCCGGCAGCGTTTCGCCAACAAGATTTTTATATAACACAAATAGGCAAACGTTGATACCCATCTCCACTATCACAGTACAAGGTTCAAGAAAAAAAGAATAGGTTTTTTTTACCAAAAAAAAGACCAGGTTAAAGAGCTTTACATTTCATAGCACCATGTATTTAGTCTGAATTGCCTGATACGACAGTAAATATTTGGTTTTTTAAACATTCTAAAGAAAAATTGAGAGAATGGATAATGGGAAAGCTTTGATTCAATGCATAGACATATTAGCATTTATGTTTTCATTAGCTAATTTTTATGGTTATGCGGAATAATGCGTGCCAGTGGCGTAGAAAATAGTTCATACCAGGGGTCCAGGTACCCCAATTGTTACGTCACTGGTTTCGTTTGTGCCGGGAAATTCTGTGTGTGTACTGTTGTTTTGATTTTGTAAATAAAACTTCATCATCCTCTCTCGGTAAGGGAGCATTTTCGGACCCATATTTAGAGGAACTTTTTTTGTTATTTTGTTTGTACTTTCTGCCCTAGAAATATTGGCATGTTCCTTATGATAAAGATACGAACCAAACGCCAATCCGTGAATAATTATATAGTGTCAGAATCAAAATTATAAAATCCCCGAGCGCAAACTTATGATCATGATCATACTTAATATACAGGGTGGCGCATCGAAAACGAAACAGACGCATTTACTGGCAGATCAGTTTTTTTTGGAAAAACGCTCAGACCCGTCGATTTTGCTTTCGAGGGGACACAAGTTTGGCAAAAAATCATGATAGCACGTGCAGCCCCCTAAGCGGGGGTGACACCACCCCCAAAAGCTTAAATGGAAAGGAGAGTCGAGTGATACCTTATTTTAAAGGTCTTTCAATTCCCTTTATAATGATATAAAATTAATGTACTTCAGTTCAGTAGTTTATAACTAATACATCATCATTAGTGGAGATCAATACATTTGGCAGCAGAGTAATTTAAAAATAAAAAATGAACTGACCCGTTAGGCAAGTAAATGTTGAAAATGGCTGCCATGACTCTCCATGCAATAATATAGATTTTGACCAAAACGTTGCCGCACATTTTGCAATATTTGAGGAGTAATTTGAAGGCACTCATTCACAGTTCTTTGTCGCAGGTCTTCTAATGATGTTGGCTGAGTAGCATCGATTTTGCTTTTTGAATGACCCCACATAAAGAAATCCAAAGTTGATAAATCTGGCGATCTTGGGGGCCATTCAATGGCACCTCTTCTACCAATCCATTGATCTGGAAACGTCTGATCTAAATATTGTCGAATACGTAATGCGTAATGTGGTGGGGCACCATCCTGTTGGAACATCAACCTATTCGCAATGTACCGCCGATCATTCTGATTTTCAATTATGGCTGTTAATGCAGGATCTATGGCGTCTTGCAGTAATTCCAAATACATTTCACCGGTCAAATTTTCTGGTAAGAAAAAAGCACCAACTAAATGATCGCCAAAAATACTAGCCCAAACATTTAATTTTTGTGGCTGCTGTGTATGAACCTCATGATACATTCTGGGATTAGAGTCGGACCAATATCGACAGTTATGACGATTTACTACGCCATTTAAGAAAAAGGAACATTTGTCGGAAAAGCATGTGTTGAATAGAAAATGTTCATCGTTTATAATTCGTTCACTCATATCTTCACAGAATTGTAATCGCCGATCTAAATCGTCTTCATTAAGTTCTTGTACCAGGTGAATTTTATACGGATGAGAACTATGGGCCTTTAGAATCCGTTGGACAGTACGTCGACTAACACCACACACAGTCTCCAATTTGCGGGTACTTAACGTAGGATCTACATAAACTTACCCTAAAACCCCCACTTGCTTCGTTCCTTATGGGATTTTCAATGTTGCGTTTTTGATTGGCGACTGACCCAGTTTCCCGAAATTTAGCTACAAGTTGTAGAACATATTTCTGCTGGTCTATTAGCACATTCATTTCCGAAAAATATTTTGATAATTTCAACTCTTTCTGCTGTGGGATAGATCATGGTTAATTTATGTAATTACATTACAAGTTATTTTAGCAACAGAGTTTGGTCAAATCAATCGCAAACTATGTGCTAAATTCCTATTTAAAATAAGTACGAGATGTTTCCTTACCTTTCTTCAAGAAATAACTTTTTGCCACAAAAAAACGCTCCAATAGATATTTTCAACAACAAAATGATAAACAAACCATGGGCGTAGTGAAGAAAAGCATTTACTTATTAAGTAAATTATTTTAGTCAAATTTGTTCTGAAAGTAGTACAAACCAATCTGATGTATCTATTAAAGTCTACTTTAAGCTTTAAATCAATAAATCTTCAAAACTACTGAACTGAAGCTCATGTATTTTATATCATTATAAAGGGAATTGAAAGACCTTCAAAATAAGGTATCACTCGACCCCCCTTTCCATTCAAGATTTTAGGGTTGGTGTCACCCCCGCCCAGGGGGCTGCACGTGTTAACGTGATTTTCTACCAAACTTGTGTCCCCCCCCCGAAAACAAAATCGACGGGTCTTAGTGTCTACCAAAAAAAAAACTGAGCTGCCAGTAAATGCGCCTGTTTCGTTTTCGATGCGCCACCCTGTATATTTAGAGTGCCCTCGGTCGGCCCGCCGCTGATCCACCGTTCCACGATCATTTTGTCCGTACCGCTCGAATTAAAAGGAGCCTATTGTGTTTGCGGTTTTTAGAAGTATATTTTTTATATCAAATCTATCTCTAGAATATCATGAAGATCGCAGCTAACAGACATATTCTACCATAAACTATCAATATTTGATATAGTTCTAGCACTCTGTATATATTCGCTGTTACTGTCAATTCAGTGTCTTTGTCACTTTATGTGAATGCTATTGCATCGGTATTGTCATACCATCAAATATCACGAGTCTCAACGCCAGATTCAATACAATGGCCGACTGGGACTACGGTGAAGAGAAGGGTCCCCAAAAATGGTATATCAAGTACCCTGCAGCTGCAGGAAAAAGGCAAAGTCCCATCGATATCCCAATTAAAAAGGCAGTTCAAGCTACGCTGCCACAGCTCAAGGGGGTGTATATCACGGATAAGATTAGGCAGACCTTGCACAATGTTGGACACGGTTGGAAACTGGTAACAGAAGGGGAGAATAGCGATTTGTCACTAAGTGGTTAGTACGGTTAGTAGAATTTATATTAAAAGTTTATTGAAGATTTATATGATTTCCTCAAGAATCAGTCAGTAATTATCAGTTTGTTTTTCATCCTGCAATTACCTAAGGGTATTGCTTATCTGGATTTTCGGAAGTTAATATTTGGATAGGTGGAAACTATGTATGTTCAACGAAAAGTGGCTTCGATTGAAAGAAAAATGTCCATTATGAGATTATGACCTTTTATTCTCCTGAGATTAGAAACGTTTTTAGATGTAGATAAAGAAATTAATTTAATATGACAAAAGTCAGAAGTGGGTTAGGAAAATAAAGGTACATACATATAAGATGAACAAAATGGGACCATGAACTTTACAATGATCAGAATTGCTGTTAACTGAGAAACTGTGGGAATAGTCCACAGTACATAACCCGTTTTATTGACTGGTTAATATATACTTGCACACAGCTTGCTTTTGGCGAGTCTGAGGACTTTTTATCTTTTATTTCGAAACTGCTGCCTTTGCAAGTGGAAAAATCCATAACCCTCCAAATTTTATGAATTTACGGACCTATGGTTACCAATTTATACAGATTGTTTTCAAAGTTGAGTCATTTATCTTAACATCTTAACATTTTAGGTTGACCAGGTCATCCAGCGTGACATTGTCGTTGTTCTCTTAAATTCGACGGCCGTTTGATAATTGAGTTTGACAGCCGTTGAAAGTAGACAGTCTCATAAATTCTAACAAAAATGGAGTGAATTTCGTGTTCTAATTAAACATTATTTTTCGCGTAAAAAAACATCACTGCAACCAAGGAAAGGCTTGATAAGTACTATGGGGACGCTGCACCATCTAGTTCAATGGTGAAGAAGTGGTTTACTGAGGTCCGTTGTGGTCGAACCAGCACAAGTGGTTCAGGTCGCCCAAAAGAGATCATCACACCAGAAATCGTGGATAAGATCCATGGGACGATATTGGATGACCGGAGAATAAAAATCCGTGAAGTAGCTGAGGCTGTAGGCATCACACGAATTTTGGCACTGTTTTGTAACTGTAGACGAAGCATGGAATCATCACAATACACCAGAAACCAAAGAACAATCAAGACAGTGAGTTTCACATGGTGAGCGTGCTCCAAAGAAGGCCAAGGTGGGTCTGTCAGCCAGCAAGGTTATGGCCACAGTTTTCTGGGACGCATGCGGTATCATTAACATCGATAACCTTGAGAGGGCAGAACGATCACGGGAGAGTTCTATTCAGAGCAGTTAGAAAGATTCAACGTTGCTTTGAAGCAGAAACGACCGCATTTGGGAAAAAAAAATCCATCAAGACAACGCACGGGTACACACGTGTGTAGTCTCGATGGCAAAAATCCATGAACTGGGCTACGAACTGCTGCCCCATCCAAATATAGCCCCCAGCGACTACTCCCTATTTCCAAACCTGATAAAATGGCTGGGTGGTAAGAAATGTTGGTCGAATGAAGAGGTCATCATTGAAACAAACGCATATTTTGAGAGCCTTGATAAAAACTACTTTTCGGAAGGAATTAAGAAATTGGAAAAACGCTGGACTAAATGTATCGAGCTAAAAGGAGATTATGTTGAGAAATAAAGTGCTTATTTGCCGAAAAACATTTTTTTATTTAAAAAGTCACTGACTTATCAAACAGCCCTCGTATCATGTGTCACGAAGTCTAATAACTATAGATCGACCAGCCAAAGATTGCTAGGGACGAAAGGGGGAAATGCGATGAAAAAACCTTACCATTAGACGATTTTATATGGAGTCATAGGCGGAGATCGGAGAGACTTGAATTATTAATTGAATTTATATTTTATTACAACTGGTAGTATTAATATTTTTTTGCGATTCATAATGACGTGATACCAAACATACATTATAAGAAATAAATATACACAAACACTGAATATTGAGAACAAAATAAATATATTTTTTAGGCAACAAGTAATATTCCTATGTACGCATTATGATTGAACAGCAAAACAAATTATGCATTCTTCTAAAATAGAATACAACAAGTCAAAAATATCTGACTGAATAGAAAAATATAGGAAAACAAAAAGTAATTTCTTGATGAAATAACCCATAAACAACACATAGAATTAGACTTTCTACTGAGATACTAAAAGCCACAAACCAATAGTATAATAAATGAATATCTAAAAATTCTAAAAGGTAGCCAATCTAGTATAGTTTCAATCCTGATTAGAGTCATGATCACTGTCTGAGGAACTGTCATTGCTATCACTTTCACCTCCTATGTTGATTATTATTTCTTCCTGTATTTCTTGAATGAGACTGTCTTTTTCCCAATATTCATCTTCAATTTTTATAACATGTCCAATAACCTTTTGCCAGTCACTGGCACTTACTGAAGCGATGGCCTTATTAGAAATTTCATCTAGTTTTTTTATAGTAAATTCGCCGCTTGTATTATGGCTTCTAATGAAAATTTTACTTGTGCCCAAATCATCTCTATGGGATTAAACTGACACATATAGGGTGGCGTTCGAAGTGGGGTGTGTCCGAAACTTCTTATTAAATTATCTATCTTATAATTTTTCTCATCAGATGGTGGCCTATGTAGACAAGCTATTTCATAAAGCTCCATTTTTTTAGCATTAGGATCATGCTCTATACCTTTTTTGCTCAACCACGTGATGATGTCTCTTTTTAGAGAAGATCTAGTTGGAGGCTTGTCTTCCAAAGCTGAATGGTAAGGTGCATTATCCATTATTATAATACTATTAGGAGGAATGTTAGGAAATAGTTTTTCAGTAAGCCACTTCGTGAAATTTTCTTGGTTCATTTGACCGTGATAATCACCAGTGGCACAGCCAGCCTTGAAAATGAGACAGGCTCCAGGAACAAAACCATCTTGCGAACCCGCATGAACAATTATAAGTCGTCCTGGAAATGAATAAATAGCCTCATTTTAGTGTTATTTTAAGTTTGCCAACACCTTTTTGAATCACTATGTATAAAAAACATATTTTTGAGAAAAAAATACTTGCAAGGGATTATGTATTCAATTAGACAAATTAAATGAGCACTTATTAAGAATATTCCAAAATTGAGAAAAATGTATAATAAGCAAAATCGAGGTGAAAGAAACTTTATTACCTGTAGAACTTATATTGCTCAGGACACCCATAATTTCTTCGCTTTGCCAGCATTTCTTGAAAGTGAGGTCATTATCAACCCAAGTTTCGTCCAAATAAATAATATGCCTTCCTTCTTCCCGGAACTTTTAATAGACCTAAGATACTTGTATCGCCAATGTAAAATACTGGGTCTTTCCATTAGTAATTTCCTTTTGTTGTGGCATTTACGCCAGTAAAATCCTTTTGCTTTTAAAAGCAGCCTCAACGATTCTTTACCAAATGGAAATTCCATTTCTTCCTTCAGTTTGATTAGAAGTTTACTACAAGTAGGTACCACTTTAAAATCACAGTAAAATTTTTCTATCATTCTCCGAATAATGGAAAAATCGACTCCATCAATTTTTTGGATCACAGAAGGGCGTGATCTCTTTTTTCCGGGAGAAGCTAAAGGCTGTGTGGAGGTTGCATTTTGCCTGTCTTTATCTTCTTTTCTAATTTTACTTATAGTTCGTTCACTAACACCCGTATAATATGCCGCCCTTGCATTTCTAGCTACCAGTGGATAAACGAAAGTATTGTTAGCCGCTTCTGCATCGCAAGCACGTATCACGTTTGCTATTATTTCCCTTGCCTGGCTGTGAATAACTTTCCCATGCTTGAATTCCATTATCACCACTAAACAGTAAATTATATTTTCAAAGTATTTGCCAACTGCCTACGCCTATGGGAGTAGGTTTATAAATGACCGTGCCATCGGCACGTTATTCTAGTTTCAGATAAGATAAGAGTTTTGGACCAATCAGCGACCGGATGTTTACCTGCGGCCTGGGTTTTCCAGCTACATTGCCAAATTCAGCGGAACAATTCTATATCTTAAATATGTTAATATGTATGGACCGCATTTTATGTAGAACATCTGACAACTTCGCAATTTTTTGTCCGCATTCTTTCGGCTTGCAATCTTTCGCTGGTCCAACTTTAAATTTACAATCATCCGTTGGGCCGGATGATTTCTTAAAGGAAACCTTTCCGCATACAACCTGCATACTGCGGCTGCATTTTGTTGGCACTATTCGTATGTTAGTATTATGTCCACTAGTTCATTGTTTTCGTAAACATTGGCCATTTTTTCGCACAAATAAAAGTACGCACTATTAAAGAATATCAAAAAATCTGTGTATCAACATTCTTATTTTTTTAAATTCTTAATCTTTTACTATTTCTTTTATACAGGTGGTTTTAGGTATATCAACTCCTTTTGACGAGTCCTACAAGCAGATAAAATAAATGACTCAACTTTGAAAACACCTGGTATATAGTTGTTTTGGACAATTGTTCCGTAATTATTTACATAATCAAACAGTCATAGTGTCTGGCAAATTGCATGTTGCATTTTTGGAATTCGACAGCCTGATTATGAGATATTAAAGAGGTTATGTTTTGAAATTAGTAAATATCAAATTTCCAATTTTTTTACACTAAAATTAAAGATCAAATATGTTTTTAATTGTGTCCGGCAAAGGAGAGGCACAAACCTTACGGAAATCAGTCCCCGGTGAATATTGCTCAAACTCTGTCAATAAGCTCTCCCGAGCATCCTAACAAGAACTTCTCATGAGCTCGTACCACCCTGCGAAAAGTTTCCGTTATATACAGGGCATCCCAAACATGCAAGAAGCGATTATTGTCCTTAAATAAAAGATTACCAAAGAAAACCATTTATACGTTATTAAACTTGTTTTCCGAAGATACATTTCTAAAATACTCAGTTTGCTGCACCAAGCCCGTATCTATAATAAAAGACATTTCTGGGCTTTGCGCCCATTGGAACACTTGATTACCACAATATGAACTGTAATTATACGAGTTTTCATTGAAATGGACCTGTGGTCAAACTGTATGTTTTGTGCCTTATAATCTGAAATTTCGGGCAGATGTGGGGATGAATTCTGGGATCTGGATTTTCTAGCTTGTTGAGGTGTAGCACTTTTCATCAACTTTTCACGTAGTTGGCTGTATTGAGACTGGCTGGCTGATATTTCTAACTTCTCCGAAACAGCTTTCTAAAACTTGGACTCCTTTTTTATACTCATTATTATCAGCTTTTTGTCTGTGTGGTGGCTGGTGAATAATTGATTGCTGGAAGGCTGATATGGTTATGGTACAGTTTTCCAAAGTTGGCTGGCAAGCGGTATTTGCTTAGCGACTTTGATTGGTTTTCTATTCGGTGTGCTTGCTATCGGGGTACCAGGATTGTCTACACGAGGGGGGTCTCTGTTAAGAATGGAGTAAGTTTGGTAGACAGGATACCGATGTTCGTCTCGAATAGGGTTCCTTAATACAATTAGAATTTGAGTATCCGTTGTGAATACTATACTTTGAGAATTTCACTGAATTTTAAATGATGTGAATCGTCAGGTAAAAGATAATTTTACAGAAAACTCTCTTGTGAGTTCTACATTAGGTTGTTGTAGTTCAGATGAATTTTTAATAGAAATTAATTCAATGTACAAATATTATTGAAAAAGGATTCGACTCATATACAATATAAACATACGTCTTTCTAGGCCATCTTTCAAATAATTGATCGCCTGTA